TTTGGTGTCATCAGCGAATTTAAACAGGTTACTTTCCACCCCATCATCCAGATCGCTGATGAAGAAATTGAACAGCGCAGGCCCCAGGACCGAGCCCTGGGGGACTCCGCTACCCACCTCCCCCCAGGTCGAATATGACCCATCCACCACCACCCTCTGAGTGCAACCCTTCAGCCAATCTGCAATCCATCTGACTGTGTCTTTATCTGAGCAAAAAGTTAATTCAGATTAACAGCCTAATCAATACATTTTGGTTGACTAGATCTCATTTTTTTTGTAGTATAAAGTATAGAAACACAACACAATCAAATATTGTCTTCTTCAGAACAGCTTAAGGCTTGTAATAACTACACAAAGGCTGTTTTTGTCCTTGAAATTAACTCCCCCTGCTGTAACAAAGGCAAAATTACAGGAGTTTAACAAAGAACAGAACAAAAAAACTATGAAACTGAAGTGAGCAAAGCATTTTTATTTGTGAATATTAATATACAAACACAAGTATTTTAATCTTTAAAAAGAAGTGAATTTAAAAGTTGCATAGTTTTATACAAGGCCAACTGCTTTTTCATCCTGTTTGGCAAACTTATGACAAAGATAATTAAAATGTTTCACAACAGAATTGTTATTAGAAGAGAAAAAAAAATCAAAGGAGGCAATCCATTTTGAGTTGCACAGTAAGCAAAATTAGTACCTACTGTAACTCATTTTTATTCGAATAAAAATACTGAAAGTCTTGAAAGAAGACTATTTAATTTCTGCTTTTCCAAAGAACCCATGATTTATCATTCCAACTTTTGAATAACATTTCAGATCATTCTAAATTTAAAGTCCTTCACCTTTTATAGAACACCAGATTCTCAGAAATGCCCTTTGGTGCCATTCCCCTCTCTCAATAAAATTCACCAGATATTCCAAAGGCAAAGACATTTACAAATACTGGGTAAGCTCATTCCGTCGTCTTTTTAGAACATCTGCAAACACAACCCCAAAATCAGACTGGCCCAACTGTCATTTTGAATTAACAGGAGACCACACTCACATACTCAAACTTGAAAATGGTTCTCCTTTGATTTCATATAAACTACTAAAGATGAAATATTCCCAGAAAAACAAAGTTATGAAGTAAGCTGACATAAGCAGAGATGGAATCCAACCTGTATTCTATAAAACTGTACATGTTCTTGTTTGGTGATATTAAACATTTTATTTAAAGTGCTTGATGAAAGCAGGAATGATTTAAAACTGGTAAATTCATTTACTGGCACAGCTGAAGTTGGAAACTCACATGTGTTATTTAAAGCATATGTAAACAGACAGACAAAAAGCCGCACACAAGAAATATGTTCTGCTGGGTTTAAGTTTTTCTGTTTTCTTTTTAAGTTTTAAAAAGAGAGATAAAAGACAAATCTTGGTGAAGAGAGCCCTTAAGGAATATAGTCGATATAATATTTTCCTACATTTCAAGGATACAAAGAGGTTTGGTATAAGGACTCAAAGGAAGAAAATAGTGTAAAAGTATTACTCATAATTGAGGAAAGATGATTACAGAGCAGATATCTTAGTTAAAGCCTTTGGGAATATGCCATTTAATAAGTACAATAATTTTAAATGCCCCAAAATTACATTTTACAGTAGAAATGCAAAGGACTTTGGAACATGGTAATACTTAAGTTCAGGCATGCATATTGCTCATCTTAAGACATCATCTTTTTCTTACATTCTACTGAACAGAAGACCATTCCTTCTATTGGCATGAACTTTTGGCCAATGAGACACTTGCTACAACACGAGCACACGAAGCACTCTGGGGCAGCATGCCAGTTGAAGCTGTTGTAGGTCACACGCTGAACTTCTGGATCTATAGCATTCTGACAGCCTTGACAGATCTGATAAATATATAATAAAAGTCATATAAACATACATTCTTTCTCCTATTTTTAGAAGAACTGGAACTCCTGAAAAGTAATGGGAATTAGTTTTGAATGATAGGAATACCAAAAGAAAGAAATATTGTGTTATTCTAGGACTGAAGGAAGCTTTAAAATATAGGTCAGATATTACAGCTTAGAGGAGGGAGAACTACAGTTTAAAAAAAAAAAAAAAAAAGCACAACAGAAGAACCCCAAAATGCAGGAAAAAAAAGAGAGACAATCTTAACGCCAAGCAGTTTCAGAAGCAGAATTGTTGAGATAGTTAAAGGTAAAACATCATAGTTGCATAGCATCATAACTTTCAGTACTGCACTGAATTGAAATAACTGTATACTTGGCTACTGTATATGGTCTCTTTAAATGTTTTGGATTCCTTTAGACACTTCAAAATGTTCATTTGTAAGTGTAAGTCTTTAATGGATGTCAGATGTGGAGAGTGAGCATTATGGATACAACTTGCCACTAGTAATACAGCACTGGACTGACTTGATGAGCTGCACTGACACTGATAAGTAGTTACTGAAGCCCCACACCAGCATCAGCATCAGCTTCTCAAATTTCTCACTTACATTTTTCACCACTGAACTGCCATGACATGAGTCAGCACTGGCAGTAGTTCCCAACACTAACCCAAAAATTACTTTGTCACATCTTTCTTTGTTGGGCATCGTCTCATCTTCCACAGTGGCACTATGCATCTTCGCAATTTCTATTTTATAAGGCACTATGAAAAAGATTTGTTGGGTTTTAAGAACATTACACCATAACCCACTGCTGGATGGAGCCGCATGAGCTAGTCCTGGAACTAGTCCTTGATCTGGTAGGGCCCTCATTGGAGCCAAACGAAATAGTGAATAGTATATTTCTAAACTGTGTTGGTCAAGCAAATGCCAAACAAATGATCAACAGGCTTTCAGAATCAAAACAATATACATCTACCTTCCTTAAATATGATGGAGTTAAAATGGTCAATACAAATGGAGATACATATGGCTGTTTTCATACCTTTCCACTTCTAGGATGTCTTAGTTCAAGTTTACATTCCATGTGTTTTCTGAATTATCTAGTAGATAAAGTGGATGCACTTTTTTTAAATACCTTATGAAAGCAGAGGACAAATGACTGACTTTGGCTCAAACAATTCACAACTTAGATATTTCTGTCCAACATATGAGTGAGAATGTGACTGAACATTGTATAAGTGTCAGTTACTGTACACGTTTCTTTCTTTTGTAACCTCAAAATGACTTCAAGTATCTTACCGCAGCATGGTTCTTCACATAGCATGGTTTGCAGACAGGCTTATCATTTACCATGACATAGATTTCCCCAGCCAAGACACAGTCACAGTCAAAACAGCAGAAGTGTTTCAGGTGCCAGTTTTGACCCTCTGCTTGGGTATATTCATTGTTGAATATCAACTGTGAGGAAAAAACAAAACATCACAATTTATGTACTGAACAGTATTTCTTTCCAGGCAGCTTGCACTGCAGTGTCACAACTTTTCAAAATGTGATGGGTTTAGACCCCTTTTTTCAAATCCACACCATTTTTAGAAACATACCCATCTAGTGTTAATGTGCATGATTTTGCTGTAAAAGGCCTCCAGTTCCTCTGGTAAAAGCAGTAGATTCCAATGGCATTATTCTGTTTGCTCTCCACATTTGGCATTCATATATTTGTATAATTTAGGAAGGACGCTCCACCTAGTGTTCTCACTGAGAAAGTAACTGAGACTTCAGCATAACATGCTAGCTAATATATTGTAGCGCAGTTTTTCAGTATCTGGCCATCATTTAATTCTTTCTTAAGAAAAAGAAGTACTTCTTTATATATAGGATTGTTTTCAGGAGGAGAGACTGAATTATATTAAATGTTATATGCCAAATACCCACACTGAGGTCTTGCTTACCTCATCGCATCCAGCACATCGGGGTTTCTCACTGTCACAGTAGTGCCTTCCGCAATAAAGTTTTCCATTCTTCCAGAAATAGATCATGTCTACTAGAAGCTCCCTGCAGGTGCAGCAGACAAAACAAGCTGGGTGCCACAGTTTGTCATAGCCTGCACGCTCAGCGTAGATGGCTGGATCACCTTCTTTCATATTTTGGTTGCAGCGGTAGCATGACTAGAGGAAGCCATTCAAATTAAGGCATTAAACAACAGGGCACATATATCTATGATGTGTATTTTAGTAAATTCCCAGCCTAAAACTTGTAGCCTAATATTAAAGAGGCAGAGTGACTTCCATGGTCAGTGTTAAATTTTGCACCAAGCCCAAATGTAGGTTTGTTCAACTAAACAGTACAAAAAGACATATGCCATGTAGGCAGAGTTCTAATGCTAGTTACACAGATAATTTTACCATAAGTCTATTAGAACTAGAAGTATAATATGGCTCCTGGAAAAGTCTGGAAGTAAAATACCACATCTTACTACAGATCTCTGCAGTGTCAAAAACAGCATCCATGAAGTAAGGTGAACTTTAAACCATTAGCTCAGTTCTCTGGACCTGATTTTTTTCTACTTATACCAGGGAAACACACCAGAAGCTATGAGTTACAATGGTATAAAAATCTGCTGAAGAAGAAACACTTTGTGGTTTCTGTTTCAGAATTACTGTGTAGAACTACTTTCCAGTTCTGCCAAGCTGCTTATGGCTGTTGTCCAATTATCAGTCTTGGACAGGAGAAGGATGAGAGATAAAAAATTATAAACACAATTATACTACAAATAGTTTCCAAAAATTCTAGGGATATTCTTCTACTAATATTTATACATGATATTGAAATGCTTGTCAGCCAGTCAAAAGAACAGATAGTATGTGTCTTACTAAAACATAATTTTCCAGTCTATTCATCACTTACTTATTTCTGTACTCTAGTTGGTTTGGATGTCTGATCTATGGTCTCATGGTGTGGTTTCTTCCCCATGCCATAACTATAGTATGAATCTGAACTTTCTACTATGACTAACTGTTATAAATTTCTGCTCTGTGTGCTTCTTTAGATTTTTCTCCCAAAGTATCTGTCAATAATATAATATATTCAGTTTTTTACTTTACATAAACTTGCACATAAAAGAGTCCAAAAAAAAATTGGGCCTATAAAACAGCTGAAAGGGAAAGTTCTAATACATTTTGACTACTAAACCCCGGACCAGGCCTGTTTCCAGTTCCATCAGGTCACTAACGTCCACTATCATTATCTGTGCTATGTTACCATGGTAGCTGTGCTCACCCAAAGTACCTGAGCTTACAAACTTCTAGGATGTTTAGATGAGAGGCAGCTGGCAGTAGGACTGTGCAAAACTTTAGCAGCCGTTTTGTTTCGGAGGTGTTTTGGCCTGTTTCAGCACCTGAAACGCCAAATCTGAAATGAAATGGAAGGCTCCGAAACATCTCTGAAATAAAATGAAACTATCTGAAATGTTTTGGATGTTTCGGAGGTGGGCTTGTGAGGTAATAAACTCAGGAGGGTGGGGTTTGTGAAGGAGTGGTCTCATATTGACATCTGTAGCTGGCTAGTGTCTGTGATCTGTCCCTGAGGTCCCTTCCAATCCCAGTGCTCTGGGGGAGGGACGGCAGCCTGCTGTCATCCTGCACGGAGATCTGCGGGCCTGCACTGCCCTGGGAGGAGTCTGGCACAGCCCTGCTGCCCCCCACTGTGTGGGGGGGCTCTGCCACAAGCCCTCAGAGGCCCTGATCACCGTTGCTATAGCCAGTGAATGCAGGGCTTTTTTTTTTTTCTTCCAGTGCTGGGAGGCTGGGGCAGGGCAGTCATGGGGGCTTCTCCTGCGGCTCCTCCCACCCAGGGAGAGGCAGGCAGAGCTGGAGAAGCTGTGGGAGAACCTGCAGCCACCCAGCTGTGCCTGCCTCTTCCTGGCCGACCTGAAATCAGCCCTGAAACTGAAACAGATTTGGCCTAATCAAAACGGATCATAGTCCCTCTGAAATGGCTGAATCAGAGATGGAAACGAGACACAGCTGTTTTGCACAGCCCTAGCTGGCAGTATGGCATTTTTCTGTGAAGACGGAAAAGTGCTCCCTCTTCTGATCAAATGTAATCCAGATCACATGACCTCTAAGGCATGTAAGATTTATCAGTTCTACCATGGCCATGAACAGGCGTTACATTTGTTGGGAGAAAGGGTTTTCTCCTGGCACACAGAAAGCGTGCAGCCGTTCAAGAGATTTCTTGCAGAAGAGAACTGCCTCTTCTGCAAAATGTTAGACTGGATACCTACAAGGAAGATATCCCTCCACATAATTGAACTTAAACAGCCATACTCTACTGTCAGGTATGAAAGACACCAGATATCCCACAGCCCTCTGCTCTCCCATAAATGACTGGATGATAACAGATGTTCAGATTAAGTGCTTTAAAAGTGCATCCATCCATACTTATGTTACAAGCATTGGATACATTGAACAGAATTTTATAATGTGTAAATAAATTGCAGAATCTACACATAGGTGTGTTGGTGGGGGGGAGGGGAGGGATGTAGTGGTGTAGACAAGCCCTTCTTTCACCATAGCCACTGGATGATCTGTGCACAAAAGATGTGCCCCAAAGCCACTCTTGATCTGCTCCAGCTGTGGGCTCCAGCTCTGTAGGTAGCTGGACTCAGCAGGGGACAGCAGTGGCAGCACACAGGTTCCTCCTTCCAGCACCTGCCCCTGTCTGCCCCTCCTTGCAAGTGTTTCTTGCTGGCTTGGAGCAGGTGCTGGAAAGGGGAACCTGTGCACCACCGACATAGCCACTGGCTGCTGCAGGTGCAGGGGAGTGCCAGAGGTGCTTCTGACCCATGCCTTCCATGCACTGCACTGCAGGGGCCAAGCTGGGCTTGGCCAGGGATAGTGGCATCAGCAAATATGTTCTCCTTCCAGTGCTTGCTCCCAGGCTCTGGACATCAGAGGGGGAGGACAATGAACAAGGAGCAAGGGTTGGAAGGAGGAATGCATGTGCTGTTATTGTTGTCCTTAGAAACCTGGAACCTTGCACACTTGTTCCCTGCAGCATACAGCCAGACCAGGGCAGGAGTGGCTCTACCCATCCTGACCTTCCTCCCCCCTGCCCTCCAGGTCAGCCAGCAACAGCAGCAGTGGTGTCAGTGGAGGCTGAGTCCCCTCCCTTAATGCACCTGATCCCAGCCTGGCTATCCAGTGTCCCCCACTGACCTGGGAGCTCCAATCACACCTTGCCCCTATCCCCCTGTGGTCTGACGTGTGGTGTACTGAGCCCCCCTTTAAGAAATCCTGGATCTGCCCATGAGTGGGATACACAACCTATTTAAATCATAACTGTTAAAATACAAGAATGAATACTCATATTACAGATTACTTGTCTACCCAATCATTATTTTATGTCTTTTCCAAGATAGTCCACAGTTACTCAAAACACTTTCATATCGTTGCGAGTTTTCTTTCCAGGCAGCTTGAGTGATTTTTATTTCCAGTAATTTTACTACTGTTTGCTCTTTAACCTTCAAAAGCAAAGCAAGGAAGGTCAATCTGTAAGAGACTCCTGCAATTTATATTATTTACAAGTTACTTTAGTTATCCTGAACTTATTTTGTATTCATGCACAGGCATCTGAGGAAGGAAGCTAGAGTTTGCATGTTCTAATAGGAACAAAGAAAGCTTGACTAAAATACTTGTAGCTGTTTAAGAATGTAAAAAACCACAAGGGAATATTTACTTGACTCATTTTTGTGGAACAGAGTTCTATTAAAAGATCCAGTTCAGATGCTTTGTTGTGACAACGGAAGCACAATTACTACTAATAATAATTAATGCCTTGGTCTTCAATACTGAGTGGGACTGAAGATCATTCAGAGAAGAAAATGTGGATCTCAAAATGCAAAGCTAGCTAGTCAAAACAGTAACTATAGAACCCGATTAGTGAAGAAAGTTAAGACTACTTCAGTTTGGTTTCATTCAGTTCTATACATAAATTACATTATTTTATTCCTTTCCCAAGCAAGAGAAGACAGAACAGGCTACTAGGAGTATTTTCCCCTCACCTAAGCATTCTTTTTTAATATCAATAAAATATTGAGCACTCTTCCTAACCATGACAACCTTGGCAAATCCTATATTGAGAGATTAAGGTACAATTTTGTATGTAATCAGGAAGAAGAGATCTAGACACATTTTTATTTGCTATCCATTATTAAATATTATTAAGACTAGTAGGTTCTTACTGAAATATTTTAATGGATATTTTCAATACTTTCTTCTCTTCCCATTCTCTTAGCATTTCAGGGTAACACACAAGCTCAGCAGGTTAAACTTCCAGTTTGAATGCTTTCTCAGCCATCTATCTTTCTGCATTACCAGCTATCTATTATACTTACATACTGAGATCCTTTTTGACCTGCTGATTTGTCCTCCATCGCTCCTACAGCAGCTGAGGTGCTTTTGTCACCATTATTTTTGTCAGTGACTTTAGCTTCCACATCACCAGGCAGCTTGACATCACCCACACCAAGTGCCTCATTCTTGTATTTCTTCACAAACTGCTCCATCTGCTTCACTTCATTAGGAGATAACTCATGACATTTTGAAGGATCTTGATCATGAGCAGGCAGCTGCTTAGCCAACTGTTTCTTCCTGTACTGAGCGCCTTCTGAGCCAGCCACAGGCTGTTTCTCCTTTGGAAGCATCTGCATATACTGTCTAGCCTAAACCAGGAAGAATTAGATATATCAGATGCCACTTTAATTATGGAATCTGGCTTTTTAAACAAATAAATGACTAAAGCCATCTTTATCGTAATTAGAGAATATAACATTTGTTAATAGTAAGATCCTCTCTCTACAGTAATAGTGAGGTTCTCTACACACAGTGATTCCCAAAATATAGTAGTCAGAAATAAGCTCAGTAGATGCATTAATTGGCTTCTGCCCCAAGTGAAAGACAAGCTTGTGATCAAGCCATAAATAATATTTAGAAAAAAAACATGTTATTTACAATCATAAGGAATAATTCTAAACAATATTTAAAATTTATGTAGCACCATGCTACAAAGCTGTCTAAAAATACTGATCTTGGACACATCTGTATAGTAACTATTTTAGGGATGTAGAGACAGAAGCTAGGAATTTTACTAAGCAGCTTGCACAGGACACAGCGCTACATATAATTCTAGCAAAACCAGGATACATATTAAATAAACCCAATACAAAACAAAAAAATCCCCTGTAAATAAATGCTAAATCCTGCAAAGTTCACATATGTAATTTTAAATTAAGTCACTGAAAAAGGATACTGCATCCTAGAAAACTAGGAGACCACAGATAGCTTGTCTCCACTTATGGATCACATTACACTGTGATACATAAAGTCAACAATTCAAGTTTAAGTAGTAAAGTTAAACTCCCCAAAAGGCTATCCAAGCAACTCATCTGGTTCAGCTGCTAATAAACTCAAGAGAGCTTTCCTTTTGGATGTCAACACTGAACTTGTTCTTACCATATACAGTAAAAGAAATGTGCAAGACTGTTTCTCTTAACTTTAAACAATGACATAAACTGTAGGCTTTTTTTTTAAAACAGTTCATCTAACTTTTATTCCCCCCCAAGTCTTTCTAAAATAGGCAGATTTGGGAATTTGAAAATCCTCTAGAGTGCAATTACAAAGGACACAAGCACATCTCTCTCCTTCCAAAATCTCCAGTCAGGAAATCAACATTAAAATTTTTCATAACACTGGGAGTAATGGGACTGACTGAATAGCCAACACATTTTTATTTGAAGAGGAGGAAGATCAGATCTTAAAGTCGCTTGGATTTTTAAGAGATAAGAAGGACAAGAATTATAGTAAAAAACAAGGATCCAACTACATACAACAGATCCACAAAGACTAAAGGGTTACAATGTCCCCTTAGTAATCACCATGAAAGGATGCCAGTAAAATGTTACCATTAAGTAAATAAAAAGACAGATCATACTTACCAGTGTCTGATTCTGAACAGGAGGAGCCCATTCATAAGTCACAGTGTTGATGGTTATATTCTTCTTGGCAGCTACTGGATTAGTCAGTATCATTACATTGCGTTTGTACATGGGAATACCATCATTTTTCAGCTTTGCAATAAGGGTTGTATATTTTGTATCCTCAAAGAGTTTTCCCACTTTCCTATCTTCCTCATTGCTTGTGAGGACATCATGCTCTTCCTGACCACACTTACAGTTTCGACATATTTTTCTAGAAGTTTAGAAAAAGGCAAGCTGAGTATGTGTCCCAGCTGTAGGCCACAGCTCATCCTAGTTACATGCACAGCAAAGAACCACCAACAAAACATAACCACTACCTCCTTATTCAGCATTTGTATATGAATACACAGCATTTTCCAGGTGAACCTTCTAAAACCAAGAACACTGTTAAGATTTTTCCCCAATCATTTCTGTATTATTTCGTTGTTTGATCCCCAAGTTTTATAGAACTTCATTTTTGTCCACAGAGAATTATACTTCCCTCACTCACCTTTTATTGCATATGTACATTGTTTGGTTATTGTAAAGAGATTTAAAATGGATAATGCTGTATTTACTAAAGGCAAAAAATACAAATCTGAAGAAAAGTATGTGAAGGAATTAAAACAAATTCATATTATACAAAAATCAGTATTAAAAAAAATACATGGGACAGTGTTTAGCCTGTGTTTAGCTTACAGCCTGTGTTTAGCCCAATCAAGGTGTATACAGAATCCTCCTTAATGTATAACACAACAACCCAGTCAACCCAGTTGACTTTAGTTGCCATAAAGGAACAAACTGGTATCTTATTACCTAATTTTAATTAAGGGATTCACACAAATCAGCAGGGTCTTCAACTGGATGAGTGCTTTAGCATGTGTGATCTGCTTGGTTCTCGTGCTAAAGAGCAGACAAGCAGTTTGGTATATTGAAATTGGTCAAGTTGGACATGACTGAGAAACTGCATCCACACCACATTGTTGTTAGTTTCTGCCTGGCCTAGAAAGACAATGGAACCAATATTTTAGCTTGTTGCTTTAAAAAGAATGAACCACTTATTCTACCATTTACTTTTGAAACAAGTTTGACATAGTAACTATATTTTAATCTCTTAAAGACTGTAAAGAGATAAAAACAACAAAATCAAAATTTAAATTACTATGGTCAAAGTCCCTATTTAAAGCACAAAAACCCCATTAGAAGGTGAATGACTAAAGAATGAAAGAAATGGGATGTTAATGGGTTGGAAGTTTACACAGAATTCTTTCTTTTCCACTATCTGGAACAATTTAAAAACTATTTCTCATTCTGGGATATATTTAACATTCTATAAAAGAGGGAGGTTATGATTTACTGTAATGTACTGAAATAATTGTATTGCTCACCATTAATCATAATAGACAGTGTAACATTCAGATTTTATTATTCTTCCACACACATTCTCCACTTATTAAGCAGTTTCTAAACATTGAGTTATTTAATGAACAGTTCCTAAATATAGGCTTTAAACTCCCCAAACGACATATTGCCCCACCATTTCTGTAACATTTGGTTTAAGACTGAATATTCATATCACAACCTACTTATATTTAATATGTTCTTATACTTCCTTAAAATAATTTCTACACATAATCATAACTGCACACACATGCACACAGACCTCCTTTCCAATATATTTCTTGATCATTTTTAACTTGGTTAGTAGCCATGGTAACTAACTCTTGGATTGGGAGGGTTGTTTGTTTAGGCTTTGTGCAATACTGTACTAAGTTTGTGAGGTAAACACAAGACTATATGATGTTTAAGCCAACGTGAATCTTTCTTGTAACATATTTCCTAGTACATGGTTCTTTTGATGGTGTGATATTCCTAGATTCTGTTCTAATGCCTTATCATCACATCTAGACTTGCATTTCTTTTTTGTCCCAGTGGCCAAGTTTCAGGTGTGCATGCATTTCACCTTCCTCCAGATTCTTGTCTCTCTTCCGTGTGTAATGGGCAAATATTTGGTGGTTTCAGCAAAATATTCCCTTCTACCACTACATTTTGGCTGTTGGCAGATGTGGAAAACAACGAAACAAGATGCACTTCACCAGGAGCAGCAGTGGGTTAGTTCAATCCAGCTCCGCAGCATCTATTTAGACGCGGTGCTTCAGCAAGGCTTTTTGGTGCACTTTATCTAAAGTGGATTCAATCAGCTATTAGATAAAAGTACAGAAAAAGCTCCACTAAGCACCAGAGCTATACAAATGTTGGATGAGCTGGATCCAACTTAACCCAGTGCCTCTTCTGGGCATGTGCTTGGCTCAGCGCAAGGGTACGCAGAGTTTAAAATGCCTTTTTCTTTTTCTTCAGTTTGTAAGCAGCATTTATGACCAACATGTGTAGCTTATTTCCAAGTGAATGGTTTGCTCTTAGGAAACAATCTGTCTTTGGTTTGCAGTTCTAGAAGTCTTGTCAGTCATAGCACACTTGTGACCTTTGCATAACTTTTTATTTTTTTAAATTCTAATTTTTTAATTCTTTACTCCTTTTAATACCACTGACCATAGTAATGCTACTACTGTATGTACCGAGGTGTGTGTGTCTCAGTAGCATAACTGAGGGCTGGGACGCGACTGAGGAAGCAGCCCTAGGCACTACCTTTGTGGGAGGACGCACAATAGCTGACTGCAGCACTGGCTGATCACACAGTTGTGATGGGCATGGCACTGACCCAGGAGCAGAGCTATGATTGCTACACTTCTGGTCTTGACATTAAATACTGTCCTGAGCAGCTATTAGACTTCCTGTGGGAGTACGTGTTTATCAATAAAAAGCTAACCATATACTTTTCTCTTTCCTCTTGCTCTCTCTCTCTCTCAGCATTTAACTTTCAATTCAGATTAAGACAGCAATATGGTGGTCATTCAATGCAACTGACCTCACTTCCCAGGTAAACTGCACAGACTTACGATGAGGAAGTCTGCAAGAGGTTCTTTAAATTGGAATATTAGGCCTGTTGAAAATGCTTCGAAGTCTAGTCGCTTATGGTTACTATGGAAGTGTCTGCTAGTTTACCTACTTAACAGAAATATGAACATTAATTACTAACAGTGAGGCAATTTCAGGGCGGGGCCGGTTAATGAAAAAGTCCATTGCTACTCAGCACCCCCGCCAAAAATCTTGGAGCTTCCTCCTTACCACGTATCACAACTGGTCACCAAACCTTGGCTATCCTTGCTTTTGTTGGGTCAGTACATGGTGGTCCTGGCTTTTCAGATACAGGCTTCTACTCCAGAGCACTTTGATATATAAACTATTTAAATCCCCCGTGGTTCCAGAGCTATGTCAATGTGGCCATTGCAGCCATTACACTATGCTTCGAGACACTGATTCAACTATCTTTTTATTGTTTTTTCATGCAGACTTGAAAGGCAAGCCTCACTTCTCCTGTAGTGTCTCTAGCCAATGTGAATGACAAACATGAGCATTTGCAAATAAAGATATGGTTTTCTCCCTTATTTCTTTAAAGCCCCAACATAAAATTAGTCCATATCTGAGTTAGATATGCAGGAAAGAAATGAAAAGCACTGACTATTAGGTTAAGCATCTCATTCTTTTTTAGTTACCTCCTTTCAATACTACAACCCTGTTTTAAAGAGGAATCAGGTAAATTAAGTCCCTTTCTTGTGCTGTACATTGGAATTTTAGCTTTCTAGTTTCAGGGGCTACTAGAAGTGGCTTTGTAAAAAAGGTACCCTAGTGGGTTATGGTCATTTTCTATTTGAACAGCTTCAGTCCTTGAATAAAATGGGTGACCTTTACCCATATGACAGTTGTCACAGGATATCTTTTTTCAGTTTGGGCACATCTTCATTCCATTGGCGATTACAACCTTGACATCACATTTACTAATTGCACGAGTAACGGTCCAAATCTCATCTCACTGGTATAGCACATGGCATGGCAGCTTTCTTAGTTCCCATAATTATTTTAGATGGATTGATTGGTCACCAGATCCTTGATGACTGCATCATGCTGTGGTAACCATGTCCATACTGCAGCTTTGTCTAGTAGTCATCACTTCCATTCCCAAGACCAGCAGCTGCAGTGTGTGGAGGTGATAGCAACTTCTGGCTGCCACTGTGTCATTGGCACAGTCGTGCAGCTGCAGCAGGAGCTGCTACTCCCTACCCCTCCTACGTCAACACCTTGGGCTGCTGCCCCAGATGCCCCATCTTATACTACTGCCCAACATGCATTAAATAATTTTCAATTTACAAGTCTTAATACACTTTGATGTAGGTATTTATTGGCATGTTTTTACCTTTTTAGGTTGACTTGTAGCCCTCTGCAGGACAAGCAGCAGCCTGCATATAATACTGTAATCAATTGCAATTTCAGCTTGTTTTAATTTGGAACCAGAGAAATGAACCCAGTTAATAGGCAAGGGAGATTTTGTCCCCGGTTCTACCATGTCATCTTTCTGCCTGTAAAGCAGAATGACAGACTGTATCATGCTGGTACCTGCAAGTTCTGTCAGTAAGTCTTTCTCCTTTTATGGATACTTTGCTCCAGAGATGATACCAAACAGTACTCAACCAACTCTCTCTAGCTGTGGGTGTCCAGAATTTGATGAAGTACCTGATTTCCTTATTTCACAGTACCTGTTGGTATACTTTTTAGAATCACGTACTAAAAATATTTTTGTTTTTGCCATGTCAGAAAGATATATCATCCACTGCTGTTATGTAATAGTGAGATTTTCCAGTACTCCATTTATATTGCTTGTGACTATACAAACACAACTTGCCTGGTTTCTTTAATGGCTACCATGCAGTTCATACAACTTGATCACCATGCCTTTGGCAAGGATACTTTTTTCCCTTATTTGCTTTATTAATCCCTTACAGTTTCTAAAGATATTCTACAAGCAGGCACTGGACAAGCTGAATTGCTTTATCTATTTCCAGGGGCAATATAGCTGAAAGACATCCTGCTCCTTCAAAACTGGTTATTTTTAGCAGGTTTGGTACAGAAGTGCCACAGTAAATTAATTAAATGCCTTTTATTTAGTTTGTGTGGTTACAATAGGAATAATGGATCCAAAGGTTAGTGTTTTTGGCTTATGTATGGTTTTCCTTGCAATTTGTCTTACTGTTGCTTTTATTGCTCAAAAAGTTTTAGGCAATGTATTTTGCTCATCATTTATGCTATCCAGCAAATACTGAAATCATACCATCATAT